TCTACTGGTGCAGAGAGTAATCCATTTACGATTTGCGCAACTTACGATTGTTTGTCATTGTTTACGGGACGGTCGTATTTCGCAAGCTAGGCTGTTTCGGGCTCCATTTATTTCACTAGCCGCTAAGCTCCAGTAAATTATGTCCGGCAAGAGAAGATCTCCTTTGTCCACGCAGAGCTATCAAATCGCAGACTTTTCTTCAACATACAAACACGGGTGTTAATTTCATTTAATTACACTTGTTGAAGGTCAATATGGACTTTTTAATAATACTGTTTCCTGTACTTGAAACGAAATTCCTGTTTTCACAAAGGCATGTCAGGCTTAGGTAAACTATATTCCAAAATCCCCTTCCATCTCAGCGGTTACATTCCAAACCACCCCTGCACACGCAGGCAAACGACCTATCACACCCACATCATCACAAATGGACAATTTAGTCTTCAGTGAACCTAAACATGCAAGTTTGAAGAATGTGGGAGGGAAGATGGAGGACCCAGTGAAAATATCATCCACTATGGGGACCTGAGATTCAATCCCAGGACCTATCAACTGTGAAGTGGACAAGCGAACCGCTATATCACCACGGTGCCCATATAATCAATCAAAGGTGGCGGCATGGCTCAGTGGTCGAGTCGTTTCCCAACCCAGACGTTGGTGGTTCCATCCCCCGGCCATTGGGACCATGTTGAAGTGTCCTTGAGCAAGATACTGAACCCCCAGTTGCTCCTGATGCCGCGTCATCAGCAGGTGAATGAGGCGACAGTGGAAAGCGCTTTGAGTACTCGAGGGAGAAAAACGATCCTTCAGTGACAGCCCATTCAGCATCCCAAATAAAAACGTTTTGTTTTGTTTTGTTTTTTTCTGAAACTTTGCAGCCACAGTATCATCTTTTTTTGTGTGGAGCCCACTTGTTGTCGTGATTCTGTTTGTGACCAACAGGTGGCACTGTAGGGCTCCCCCTGCAGCTGCACACCTGTTGGTCATTATGTAATTAGTAGTATAAAAAGACTCCCGCCCGACCACTTATTGTCGGGTCATTGTTTGGTTCTGTCAGGTTTGTTTCAGTCATGTTTCGGTCACTGTTATGTTTTAGCTTCAGTCATGATTTTTGTTTGCTACTTTGGACTTTGTTTTGGATTTAGTTTTCTCTATGTTTTAATACAATTTGTCAAGTACACCCTGCCCGTCCCTCTTGCCTGCTTTTTGGGGTCCACCACCACCTTGCAACGTGACACTTGTTACTAGGCGGATTTGATCGGGGCCCACTCATAACTGGCCCATTGGACAATTTAAAGACTTAGAACTTTTTTTAACCCTTTCAAGGACAGCGGTTACTACAGTGCACATCTTATCATGTTATCAGGTTACAGGGTGCATGAAAGGGTTAATTGAACTACTTAAATGTATTAAGTGTTACATGGTATTTAAATTTATTGAGGCACACTTCATCTATCGGCTGACCGAGCCGATGAATGCCAAGCCCTCTTCCTTCGCTCAGTTGAGCCGACTGTCACATGAATTTAAAAAAGAGCCAATTTCTTTTTTAAAACAGTCAAGGTCATCATATAGAAAAACAAATAAAGGTGAGGTGCAAATGGAACATGTCTGCTGCCAGTCATCCCGCTGGCTCTGATCCTTCTGATGTCCCTCAGTGGAGGGAGCAAGCAGGTAAAATCACGTGGTGGTGCTGATTGGCAGACGGGCCAGTCACTCAAGCCGCTTTGGCATTGTAGTCTGGTCCGGGAGGGGGTGCAAATGGGGGGTCTGTTTGGTGCCGAAATACCTCCAATCAGGCAGCAGCCAAACAATAACAATGTTTGATCACAAACGCAGCAAAGAAAAGGTACAGGGGGAGGTCGAGCGGGATACACACAGTTCAAGTGAAGATGTGTTGTGATGACTTTTTTTTTTTTTTTTTGGTAGGAGAAATGCATGTCTTTAAGGTTCTGCGGTCTCATCTGCGACGTCTCTTCCTCCTCCCTCTTCTTCGACTCTGACACAAGCCCTCTCACTACTCGACATGGCCTTCCACGTTCATTAGCATATAAATGACTCATGCAAACACACGCGCGGCAAGGCGACATAGCCAAGGCATTCACGCCGTCGCCTTGCAAGAGTGAAAGTCGTATATTAGGGTGTGTGTGTGTGTGTGTGTGTGTGTGTGTGTGTGTGTGTGTGTGTGTGTGTGTCGGCGGAAGCCTGATGAGAATGCTTTTAGGCTAATTACACTAGAGGATGAGGGTGCTGCTATTTAGATGAATTTACTTTTGAGCTCAGGTGGACCAACACATACAGATTCACTGTGCAGCGGGAGAGAATGCTATCATTTTGTGTGTGTGTGTGTGTGTGTGTGTGTGTGTGTGTGTGTGTGTGTGTGTGTGTGTGTGTGCGTGCGCGCGCGTAAAGAACATGGTGTTCTTTGGTTCGGCACTCGTCCTGGTTAATTAGTGATCTGACTGCCCTCCAAGAATTTTGTGAAAGAGGCAGAAGAGACAGCGCCTTCCATTTTTTTAAAGCCCCCCCACCACCCTACTCCCACCCTACAACTACTCAAATTTTAGCCAACAGCGCCCTCTGTGGCCACGCAGTGAAAAAAACACCCAAGTCAGATTGGTCCATAATAATACAGTATTATTACAGTATAATTACAGTTTTAGGCTCCGCAGACCCGCAACCCTTGCGAGGATAAAGCAGTTTGGATGGATGAAATTAACCTTAATATAAAATCTGTATGTATGTGTGTATGTATGTATGTATGTATGTATGTATGTATGTATGTATGTATGTATGTATGTATGTATTTGTTAGTTTTTAGGGCAGGCGAATCAAACTCATATTTGTCGTGGGCCACATTTTAATTACCGTTTCCCTTGGAGGGCCGTTATGACAACCCAAGTAAAAACGGTTTCTTCAACTATTGTTTAAGTTACTGTAGTGAGGGGTTTGGTTCCAAAAAATGCTTACAATATGTCTCTTGTTCATTACATATGATAATTTAAAATGCTGTTTGAGATTTTAACAAGCATCATGGAAGTTGACATGTTTGATTTGGTTTCACCGGCCACATAAAATGATGTGGCGGGCCCGATCTGGCCCCCGGGCCTTGAGTGTGACACCAGTGGTTTCGGGGGGGAAAAGGCTCTGCGTCATTTTTTTATGAACACTAAAGCTTACTACTAAACTGTATTTCAATGGTGTTGTCATGGTGGTACTTGTGGTTCTAAATACCTTTTGGGTGTTATTTTGTGTCAAAGTTTTGAGAACCACTTTTGTAATACACTATATCACATGAACTACTACTATTATTATTATTATTATTAAAAAAAACATTTTTACAAAATGTTCTCTCTCTTTAATAATGGTGTTGCACCGAATGGATGACTGGCACTCTTCACAGCCCAAAACTAGTTATTAATTTAATGTGTAAACATTGTTGTCACTCTGGTGAAGTATGTGGCGCAGAGACTTTTGAGTTTGACAATGAAAAACTTTGCACACAAAACCACATGGACCTTGGCTGAGGACACACCACGCATAAACATCCGAGGCATAAAAAAACTCCAGTAACCTTGTGTTTGCGAGACACTTTTACATTTAATTGGAGACTGTGCTGAGGTCCTCCTTGGCTCCCGATAGTAGCGAGGGTGTCTTTTTCCATTGATTTCATTTCAATCCTCAATTTAAGTCAGTCCTCAACTAAAGCGAGGTTGTTTCACTGGGTTTTTAATTTTATCACTTTTTTTGTGCTTTTTGTCAGGATTACACCTTTTGGAAGAGAATCTTATTTGGCCATTTCATTGAGGGGGGCTGGGGGGGAGGCTGACGTATAAATGATAGAAAATAGTGATAGTAGAAATTAATCAAGTATCTCAGCCATCAGCTGAATGAATATAAAAGGAAGTCAGTGTTATTGTTAAGACCCACGTTTCCCTGAATGACACATCAAAATATTCAATATTAAATATGAATGCCTAGGATACCATGTTTGTGTCCTTGTCAAGGATTCACGAACATCCTAGATTGTATTTCTGTGAAAAAGCATAGAAGGGAATGCACAAGACCTTTTCAGAATTTTAAATAATTTGCATAAGGGGGAAAAGAAGCACACTGTGAACTTTAGGTCCGTCTTTCCCAACTGCTCATCCATTCATCTAACGCAGTGGTGTCAAACTCATTTTTGGCGGGGGCCACATTTTAGTTACCGTTTCACTTGGAGGGCCGTTATGCCTGAAACCATATAGAGAAGTCAAGAATAACTGTTGATACAACTATTGTTTAAGTGACTATCATGAGGTGTTTGGTAACAAGAACATGCTTAGAATATATCTCTTATTTTTTATATGTGAGAATTAAACATTTTGGTAGACATTTTAGGAAGGATCATGGAAGTTGACGTGTTTGAGCTACTTTCGCGGGCCACGTAAATGATGTGGCGGGCCAGATCTGGCCCCCAGGCCTTGAGTTTGACACCTGTGATCTAACGGTTACCCAAGGTTCCCAAATTAGTTCTCAATTAGGGCCAAAATTATCTCAAGGTTGCCAAATTGCCGGCAAACTTGTCTGGTTTGCCTAATTGAGTATAGTGGACCCCAGGTATTCATGTGGAATAAGCAGACCCACAATTAGTGAAAATCTGTATATAATTGATCCCCATTGAAATCCATTTGGAAATAAACACTTTTAAAACCACTAAAGATTCTTCCCCGGCAAATCTGATCTTTCCCACCCAAAACGGACTTTGCCCCCAAGAAAACAAAACAACAAAAAACAAGGAAAATCTTGGGGGGGATTCTGGGGATGCCGAACCGCGAGTATGCAAGGTTCTACGTTAAAGTCCTGCTCATGGTCTTTGGGTCATCCCATCGTCGAGTGGCTGGGTAGGCGGGTGCGGGCGCCCCTCGGTGGAGACTACCGGTAACGCTCTTCCGAGCAGTGGCTGGGCCGTCCCATCACCTCCCCCCCTACCCCTTGAGGAGTCGCACCCTCCCGGTCGCGACCCAAGTTCACCACAGCTGGTCGGCTGCTGTGTTGGGAAAGTTTGGAAGAGCACTCGCCGTGTCGTTGGAGGTTACGACGCTCTTTTTACACGATCTGCTTTGTGATTTGATTTTGGTGGAAATGAAGTGGATTTAACTCATAATTTTGGACATATTCAAAATATAGTTTCAATCGCGTTGTTTCTATTTTATTTGAAGTTTTCACGGCGCGCTGCAACCAAGACTCGCCCCGTCTGCGGGTTCCCGACCATGACGACAACCTTTCCCGATCGCTTTGAGTTTGGAAATTAGCCATTCATCGCCCCCTTTCGCCCCCCCCCCCCAAAAAAAAGACGGTTTGAATTAAATGTAGGCCTAAAACGTGGAAGCGGGGGGCTTATGATGAACTTTGGTCCGCTGAGGGTCTGCTGAAGCAAACAATGTCGGCAGTGGTTCGCACTCTTCGCCGTTGTCTGCTGCCGGCTGAGGCGAGCCGGGAAGCGGGCGGCAGCAAGGAGAACAGCCGGCGAAGGAACGCCGGCCAGGAACGTGAGGCTCGTCGGAGGAGCCGGGAGATAGACGCCATGCTTGCCCGGGAGAAGAGAGCCGTGAGTCGGCTCGTGAAAATCCTGCTGCTCGGGGCCGGAGAGAGCGGGAAGTCGACTTTTCTCAAGCAGATGCGCATCATTAACGGACAAGAGTTTGACAAGAAAGCACTGTTGGACTTCAGGGACACTATTTATGAAAACATACTTAAGGTAAGACACTTGGAAAGTCGATGCAACTTCAGGGCCAAAGTACTAACTAACTGCTCTATTCAAGTCTTGTGTCACAATCACAATGAACAGTTATTTTGATTTACAAAATGCGCATATCAGAGCAAAGTGGATTTTTTTTTAGAAAAGCTTTATATAAAATTCCCGTATGAATTTATCTATAAAATTGTCAAGAATTAGAATAACTCTTCGTCCCACTGTTGACATCCTCCCACAATAGAAGTGTTTGTTGACACAGTGCATATTTTTATCCCGGGGTGTGTGTGTGTGTGTGTGTGTGTGTCCATGTGTGTAAATGTGCCTTTGTTTGCTGCTATAGCCGGGCCTCCTTCACTCACTAACAATACCAGACTATTCCTGAGGGATGAGAACATCCGCTCAGCCCATACTGGGATAGTAAGAGGCTCCAGTTAGACCAGCGAAGCTGTACAATGGCCCTCCAACTTGCCGTCATTCTCTCGGGCAATCCTCTTAAAAATCACTTGACAAACACATGCGGAGAATAACCACAATACTGTACACCCAATGGGTGAAATAGGGGTGAAGTATTGCCCCTGAATGTGATGTCATCATACTGGTCCAAAGACTAAAAGTTATTTCATGTTGTATCGATTTGAACTTTATGCCGTTGTAATCTAAAGTGACATGCTAATGGTTTAGAACAGCTCAAGACAAAAACAACTATAAGGAGCGCTACCTGTCCATGGGCTCAAGGAGGACTCTTTTTATGCCAAGGGTCACCAACTCCAGCCCTCAAGGGCCCCCTGGCCTGCATGTTTTCGACATCTTCCCCCCTCCAGCATAGCTGATTCAAATGATCAGAATCGTTATCAAGCCTCTGCATGGCTTGATGATGATCTGATCCTTTGACTGAGGTGTGTTGAAGGAGGGAAACATCGAAAACATACAGGATAGTGGCCCTCAAGGACCAGAGATTGTGACGCCTGTTTGACACCATTCTATGAACAGCCAGATTAGGATTTACCTTTAGACGATGAGTTCTACTGAACTCTTCGTCGTGGTTGGAACATGAGGGACTTCAATTTGTTTTTGTATCTTTAAGGGCTGCTATTACACTAGCTACAGTATAGTTGTATTATTATTTTTTTGCCTTGCTGTCTTAATCTAAAATTCCAGAAGCTTTCCAGTCATCTGGCTGGCCTTGGAATCGACGCTTTCACTTTCAGTTCTCCCCTTGTGGATACCGCGTTGACAAAAGGGGCCTTTTCCTTTCCAACAGACATCCTGCCTCATTTTTTTACAGCTATTGTCAGAGCCACGTTTTGTCAACCTATGTCTAGACAAGTGAAACAGAACCTGCTTGTCATGAGACAGGACAATCGCCTTATTTGCTGGAAATATCAGAAATGGGCAGTAGATCGTGACGAATTCTGCTCATTGTTGATTCATTAAGTCCCCAAGCAGTCGAGAGACACCCGTCGATTCAGTTCGAGTTTGCTGTCTGAAGAAGACCGACATGACGTCAGCTATCGAAAAGTTGAGGTGCAATCACTCGTTGGTACAACTCGTCCGAAGCAGCGTTATTCTGCTCCATACTGGTAGTTTGAAAACAAAGTGTAATCAATTCCGTCCGATGGCTATCATTTTACACACAAGATAAACTTTTAGGTTTTTAGACACAGACAGATGTTTGCAATGGTCTGATGGACCGTTTTCTATCAAAGGGTGGCATAAACGAGCAAAAGGGCGGATTCACTTTTATGATGTTTGGCAGCCACTAGTGTTAAAGATTTTAGAGTGCCATATGGAAAAAAAAAAGTCTTGATATATTTGGCAAGAAGAAACATGATGCCGAAGTAGATTTTTAGAACGTTATCTGGACCTAAAGGGAGATTATGAGCCAGCGGAATACCTCTTTGCTGTCAGAGATAGAAAACAGAGACACATCCAAAGCAAACACAGTCTCAGTCTCCGCAAAGCAGGCAATTAAAACAAAAAAAGAGACGTATGGGGGGTGGGGGGTGAAAAAAAAAGGAAAAGAGCACAGTGAGGCTGACAAGCTGCTCTTCCTCCTGCCATGTAAAACATCCAATAAAATAAGCAACGTTTACACGAGCCAGGTCCGTTCTAACTTGAGATTCCAAATAACTGCAATCTGTTGCTTTGCATTTTTGCTGTTTTGTCACCACAGGCTTTCAAAAACCCCAAAGCAAATAATTTGTGTCAAACAGTAAATGAATTGAACGTGCAGAGACAAATTGAAAACATTGCAAAGACGCCATGTGGCGTCATAAGCAAATTTCATTCCGTGGTAGGACAAGGGATGTGACTCAAAGCGTACTCATGGTTCTATTTTTATTTATTTATTTGTTACATATTTGTCAGTGTACTGCCCGCTGTGTGTCATCCAAAGTGTTAGACACGGCTGTCTTTGCGGTAAACACCAGTTCAGCCGCGGGGCGTCTGTGTTTGTTTAGGTTTTTGTCCATCTTGCACACACTACTTAGTCACCGAGGTCACCAAGGGCCATCGGAGTCAGATTGAACACATACACAACAATTTCTGTAAACCGCAACATCTCGGAGGGGTGGGGAGGGGGGGGGGTATTCGGAAGCGGTTTCCAAATGAGTCTGTTTTTCCCCTCTGGTCATGTTTTAGGCTGGTTAAATGCCATGATTCATGAATCAGCAGAACAAATTGATATTAGTCAATCCCAGATGCCGTTTGCATCTGAGTGACGAAACCTTAACAAACACATACTAAAACTCTGTGAACTTTTATTGAGCGGTTCTTAAAACTCAAAAATCAAAACTTGGCACTCTACGTTTCAAAATGGTGCAAATGAACACAAATGTTACCAATATAAATATTGAATATGCTGTGTAGATTTGGTCTGCTTGTATTTGATATACTTATTACTGTTAGTGTTAATAACTTATTTTGGCATCCCTAAAATAAGTTATTTCATTCATTCTATATTGTTTGAATTAATCGGTCGTTTAATCAGGTATTGGAATTTTTCTAATTTTTGCAACAAAATCTGTTCCTGTCATTCATTTTGATGTCGACCATTCTCGAAATGGGAGTCTTCACAAAGATACCTTGTTACAAAAAGTATTGAATATCTCAAAGGCTTTCTATGCTTTGTGAATGTCAAAAGGCTGAGCGCAGTGTTGACCTTTCTCTCCTCTTGTTTGGTTTATCGTATGTTTAGCTACTCCCCGTCCTCCTTTAGTGGTCACTAATACTTGTTAGAAGTGTAGTTTATTTTCCTGCTGTGGAGTTGAGGATGAGTGATTTAAAGGAGTGTCTGTAGACAAAGTTTTAGCCATGCTAGCTTGCCAGCCGCATGTCATTGCTTAGCATCTAGCATTCCCCTGGTAGTTTGTGAGCAGCTGGCAAGGTAGGCGGGATGGTTTGACGTGGAATCACCATTTTTCTAAACAGCTTCGAGCCGGTAACACAAAACACAAATAAAAAAACTGTTGTTGAAATTGCCAGTTGTAAAGCACTGTCACTAGCAAAGCCAAATAAATAGCTGCTTAAACTGCTGAAAGTGTGGTGGTAGAATATATTTCATGCTTACCACAGCATCACTTTGGTGGTACTTGTTTTCAAATGATTTGACAGGATTGTTGGGCTGCCTGTTTTTGCCGGCATACCTAGCAAAAGTTGTCGAACTTCTCTTGTCAACCTAGCGTCATCTTCAGAAGATAACATCAAGTCATGACTGACCATCAGATGCACGGTTCGCTGCACGTACGGTCATTGTTTACTTCTGACAATTACTTTCTGTTTATTTCTTCTATCGTTAACTGGCAGATTCTGTTTATGTCAACGTGCAAACCAAAATAAAAGGAACAGCTGGACTCTAATTGGCTGATGTCAAGCACGTTTCCGCTGCGTCTGCTCGAGTAAATATGCTTACAGTTTGTAGCTGTGGGAGATTGTGGGGCGAGTAATTTACTTGAAAGTCGAAAAAAAAAAATCTCCAAAGCGGAGTATATATCAACTGAGAAAAACATGGTCAGATGCCAATTGTATGTACGTGCTAACTGCGAACAAAACTCGACATGGCTTAATTGAAATTATTGTTTGATCATTGCCTACAACTATCAATAGTAACTTGTTTGGCTGCGCCACCAGTGTTATTTAGAGACCAGTCAAGTGTCTGATTTGATGTTGCTGCGGCAACAAGATATACACTGTTGATTACAAGGCAGTGTGGCATCCAAATGATGTTCATTAAAAGGTTGCTTGTTAACGATAAGACACCAAGGGTTTGTGTCGGTTTGTTTGATCCCTTTGAGGAGACCTCCCACACACAAAAAAAAAAAAAAAAAAAAACCCTCAGAAGGCTACATGAATGCACCAGTGTTCGTGTTACTTCTCAAGTGGGTATCTTATCTTCTCAAGTAAAAGGTCATCTTAGAAGTGTACCCTTGAATACAGGACTTGTGTATTGAAATTGGGGGGGGGTGCTGGAGCCTATCCCAGCCGTCTTCGGGCAGTAGGCGGGGGACACCCTGAACTGGTTGCCAGCCAATCGCAGGGCACACAGAGACAAACAACCATCTGCGCTCACACTCACACCTAGGGACAATTTCGAGTGTTCAATCAGCCTGCTACGCATGTTTTTGGAATGTGGGAGGAAACCGGAGTGCGCAGAGAAAAGGCCCGGGGAGAACATGCAAACTCCAAACGGGGAGGCTGGAGCTGGAATTGAACCCGGTACCTTTGCACTGTGAGGTTGACACGCTAACCACTTGGCCACCGTCAAAAATAGTCAATTAGTTTAAATTAGCAATCCAGAAAATGCACAAATGTATTATGAATCAGTTACTGGCTTGTTCTGTAACTGGAACAAAAAATAGGCAAATGTTCAGGCGGGCAGACACAAAACACAAAGATAATCATTCAGCTTTCATGGAGGACGGCAGGAATCAGAATGTTTACAGTTGAGCGGCGGCAATTCAGAGGATTTTGGACATTTTTTTAAAAACCAAACAAGGTCCCGAAACCATTAATTGATGATCAAAATAGTTGTTGATTTATTTGCTAATCAATTCTTCGTTATTTTATTTATCGATGCACCTCTAGTCCTGACTGTGCCACTCCTGTTGTCCCCTCAGGGCATGCGCGTATTGGTGGACGCCCGTGACAAGCTTGGCATCAGCTGGCAGAGCTGCGAGAACGAAAAAGAAGGCATGCTGGTGATGTCGTGGGAGAGACGGGCTGGCACCGTGGGCATCGAGCCCGACGAGTTCCAGCTGTACGTGATGGCACTGAGCGCGCTGTGGGCCGACGCCGGCATCCAGCAGGCCTACGCCAGGCGCTCCGAGTTCCAGCTGGTGAGTCGTGTAATGGTCAGCTGTCTATGGGAGCAGCGCCGCCTGTCACTGCAGAGTGGCGGTCATCTAGTTGTTGTCTAACACGATCGTTCATGCTGCAATCCAGTGAACAACCGCGACAAAATACTATGATGTTCATGTATATTGATCGTAAACGTGTCCAACACTTAGGAAAGCAAATCCGTATGTGTTTGGTCAACACAGAATTGGGCCGAGTCACAGCTCCGTGACTGGCGTGAAACGAAAACACAGCCAATCGGCAAATGGCCTGAAGCTCGATCTGTGTTTTCTCCTACTTCTCTTGTTTGACGAGTCTACAGCAAACTTTTTTTTTTTGTCAATTAAGATCGCACAAACAAACCCGCTGTCAAAACTAATAAAACTAACTTAATTTAAAAAAAAAAAAGTTAAAAGGAAATAAACTCCAACCATAAATAAAAATCCGCTATCATTACAACCCCGTTCTCTACAAAATAGAATGTTTGAAATTAAAAAAAAAAAAAGATTTATGATAAAATTGAGTTTGTGGTTAAAAAAAAATAAATAAATATAAAGGACCACATCAAAGTTTAAGCACCCACTGAAAGCTTTTTCGTCTCGATAGCAAACAACTTGAGACTGAATGAACCTCAACTTGTGGTTTCCAGACCCCCATCTTCAAGAAGCAATTAATCCGCAATCAATTTCACGCCATCCGTCAAAACGTATCCAAGAATGCCTTTGTAGACCTTACGTTCAGTCGTGCTGGAACAGAAACGGGTCTTCCCCAAACTCTTCCCCCGAAGTTGGAAGCACACATCTGTTCAAAGGAGAGGATAAAGAAACAGGGGTCTGTCTACTTAAGAGCGACGACTTGTCTGTTTTTCCAGTCGGATAATCATTTCTCCCACAGTCTCCCACACTCTCATGTCTGAGGAAGAAAAGGAGCCTCCTCAAACTGCCATTTTATGTTTGCGTGGAAAAAAAAAACAGAAGAGCTGCAGAAGCACTTTGCTCAGCAAGTTAACGTACTGTCAGTGCCAACAAATCCTCTGTGATGGACCAGCCAGATGCTTGACGGCAAGCAAAAGGTTGAGTTTCACGGAAGGATCACAGACTGTATTGTTCTCTCCGCTCCACCAGCCGCCCGTTTTAGCTGCCGCTGCACTTTTTATTTCCCCGCCAGTTGGTCTTTCTGTGACACGGAAGCGAAGCCCTTGGCTGAAAAGCTCGACCTTCTACCTTCTTACGCATCTATCAGTGACAAGACAATCTCGAGTGAGACGGTCGGTCACTTCCGCGTCGCCCTCGCAAACCGTACGTGCGCGAGACGCCTGCGAGCAGCTTTATGTCACGCCGCCTCGGCTTATCTGGAGCGCCCCGCTGATATGGCCTGTATGCTGCAGCTGCGCAGGCCTGCAGCCATCTTTTTTTTTTTTTTTTTAACAAGCTGAAATCCAAATACCTGTTTAAGAAAACTATTTCTCAGATTCTTAAGCTTTTGCTACAAAAACTTAGCTTTCATGAAATATAGGTTACGTTTTCATATCTTCAACAGTCATTGAGATAAGCTAACATAAAGTGACAGATGTATGAAATACCCTTGATGTAGAAACAAATTACTGAAATCACTTAATGAAGGGTCTTAAAAAAAAACTGTGCTTCCACATCCAACAGTTACCCATCTTTCCTGCTTTCCTGGCTGCTTGAGAGCTAACTGGGGCATTTTAGGCGCTAAGCTAGCTAGCACAGTAATGAACACAGCAAACACACAGCGTGGCACACACTTAGTGCCCGAGGAAGAGTTTAGGGACTCAGCGTCATGCTGAGGGGAAGCTGGGAGAGATTGGTCCGGTACCACATCCTCTCGAGAGCTGTCTGTCCACAACTGCTGAAGCTGACGGGTTATTTTTTGCCCACAATCTTCTGCTGGGCCTTTGGGGTCATTTTTAAAATCAGGACAGATTAGCCTTTTCGGTTGCTTGTTTGTACTTTGTATGAAAGTGGTGTTTTAGAGACAGAAATCACAAAATATTAGCATTCCGGTGGAAACGCTGAAAAGGTCTCAACTCCTCACCCCCCAAAAATTAAAAATAAAAAAAAATAGAGCAGTTGTATCGCAAGGGTGTCGTGTTTCTTTTGTGATGTAACATCAAACTGGTAGTAATAATGGCGATTGCCAGCAGTGATTGTTTTTCAGAGCAGGTCGAATGTTTGATTTTGGCTCGATTACTGGTTTGCGTGTGCCCCACTTGAGACATTTTATCAAGTGGAAAAACTTTGTCAGGTCGACTGAAAAGAATTTCAGTCATGCAAGATAATTATTATCATCATTCAGAGACATCCGATAAATGGGCTTTTGCTGACTTTGATCAGATTGCGGGGAATCTGGCTCACATTCAGCCAATTATTTGGTATATGTGTACCCTGCTTAATATTCATGCCAGGCTAGTAATTGGCGATGCCCCTCGAATGAATTCCAGTTTGTTCTACCACTCCCAATTTTCCTTCTTTCTCTTCACCCGCAACAAAATATCCTTCCAGAAAAAGACAAAATGATGTCTCACGATGTCCGATACATGTTGGCCAAATACACGTTTGCGGTCATTTCTCGCTCAACAGACAACGTATCATTGTTGCTGCGAGGACCCTCCGCATTTTTAAACGGTATCTAATCCAAGATAAGAACAGGAGACCGCCAAGGTCATGCCAGGGCATGTTTTTCGCCCGCTTTCAACTCTTGTCGTTTTTCTCCGCTTCCTGACGCAATGAATTGACAATGCAGTTTGCAACAGATTTCTAAAGTCATAATGAATGTGCGCCAAGAATTACACCCACCCCCACATTGCCTCTCTCTTGCTGCTCTCCCGCAGAGACTTTTTTTTTTTTTTTTTTTGGTCGGCTTTTCCCAGGCTCGGCTGGACCCAAGCCACAGGCAGACACCGCAGAGAGGGAGGGAAGAGAGAAGGGAACTTTCAAAAAGAAGGCAAGGGAGAAGTCGAGGAGGGGCAGGGGGGGGGTTGAGGAAAAACAAACCCGTGCATGCATTTTGTTTACTTGCAGGCCTTTCACCACACCCTGATAACACCCCTGCTTGATATTGCGACCAACCACCTTTGACTGACACTTCAGTCCTGTTGGGAATCAAAATATACGATGTTGTCTTTGCAGCGAGCCTTGTGCAAGTGTGTTTGTGTGCGCGCCTTCCACAGATGTACGTACAAAGGCCGTGTACGCTCACACAAACACACACACACACACACACACACACACACACACACACACACACACACATAATGGTTTACTGCTGCGGTGTCACCGTATCCTGTCCCGGCGACATGAGGCACGGTTTTAAACAAACATGGGAAGACGAGAGTCGCTGGGGCCGGTGGGAAAGTGGATGACGCAATATTCAGAGCCAACTTCACAGACGCGCAGAGTACACGCTGTACAGTACAGGAACCTTGAACACATTGGATGTATACGGCGTGGTTCTACTGGGAACAGTTTTGATCTTTTTTGCGGATAGGCTTCATGGTAGCATGAAGAAGGGGAAAAAAATGTATCGGCGGACAGGAATCAGTCCACTTCCAAATGTCGAGATGAGCAGGGCTGCTCTTCTTTAATTGAATCATCGACGCTTGATTCCATTGATTTCATCGAGTGATGGATGTCAAATGTGTTTGCGTTTAACACAATAATACATCTGAGGTAGCGGTACAGTCGGACGACGCTTCAACATACCCCCGTTTAGGTTTTCACCCGTATCATGCTCACATTCCAAACTCCTGATTTCACATCATTCATTTTCCAATTTTGCTTACGACGAAGACCTTTACAACATAAATGTCATTGTAGCGACCAGATTTTCCCCACGCAGAAGTGAAAAGGCCTTGGTGATAACGAACCGTGGGAAGCTAACTGCCGCCTCGCTGATGAGCAAAATGTACAATTTGGGATTACCCTCCGTTGCTTAGCAACACTGCTGATCGACTGGGTACATTGTTGTACTTCCTGCCGTAACACGCAAGTCGACCTAATACGTCACCTTTGGGGTCAAGCAGCTTGTTGGTTAAACAGGAGTGGCGCACACACACGCACGCATGCACACAAAGGCATGTGACGTTCATGTACCTGCACAGGCACACACGCAGCAGTCTGGAGGTTTTTGCTTCAATCAAGTCACTAATCTGCGCATACGTGCCACGGACGCATTCCTCTCACGCTACTCAACCGCACGCACTCACACAAAACTCCATTCTCATATTGATTGATAACACCGTGGCAAAACCGATTCAATGTTTCACTTTATAGACGTGATTTTAATCCTTTCACGCACAAATAATGATAACCCGTAACCTGATAAGCCGTCCACTGTCGTAATCGCTGTCCCTGAAAGGGTTAAATCATATTTTCACGTCTCCGCTGCATCATTAATCAGGACGCGTAATTTCTGCTGACGAAAGTCAATGTGACTGTGGAAGCGAGTGTGTGTTTGTATATCCCTTCATCTCCGGGAATTCCCCTGTCCGTCCGCCATCCCCCTCTCCCCCGGCCCTCCCGTCCATGTCCTGCTCATTCGCCAAACGGAGCTTTGCGGCTTTGTGTGTTTTCCGCTAGTGTGACATTGCAGTTCAGCGGCAGGGTCACGGGGTCCTGAACCCCCCCCCTCCCAAGGTTTGATGGTCGACATGTGCGGCCGCTGACGCTGATTCATTTGAAAGGCTACATCTTCACTTTAATGAATCTGTTCCTTCATTGGGACATGAAATGGCAAGTTTGCGCGATAAAAGTGTGTGTGTGTGTGTGTGTGTGTGTGTGTGTGCGCGCGTGGGTGTGCGAGACATCTAAAGTGACTTTGTATCACAGTTGTCGGACTGACTCCATCCCCCATGTCACTCGTCACTGTTTTTACACGCGCAGCTGTTTCCTGTAGTGTGTGTGTGTGTGTGTGTGTGTGTGTGTGTGTGTGTGTGTGTGTGTGTGTGTGTGTGTGTGTGTGTGTGTGTGTGTGTGCGCGATTGAGAACGCAAGGAAGAATGAGATGTTCAGCTTCATCCCAAAGAATATCGAATCAAATGCTGTATAATATGACGACATGAATTGCGACGGTGGGGAAGCGGCATGGGCTGCTTATGCACGATTTAGCGAATGGGATGAAAAACGGCTTTGTCTAACGCGGGCAATATTATCATTATCTGCTCATCGTTCTCGCCTTGCTGGAAAGTTCAGTCAACGCAATGACAACACGAATAAAAGAAAGCGGGTCAGCGAGTTCTGGCTCCCGTCTTATCTCGTCCTCCGCTCCGGTTGATCTCAGTTCACACCAGCGCGCACACGGGGCGATGTTTTGATGCGCACTCCCATTATTGACCTTCAAACTGCTTTATTAATTAATTGTAAACGGGTGCTGACATCACACGCGTCTTGTCTTTTGTTGCACCAAAGCCACGCTGGGCTCGGATCAGCGTGGCAACCTCCGCGGAGAATTGGTTTTAGGTAATCACGTTACAGCAAACACGTGGAAATCTTTTCGTTTATGTGAGGCCACTTCAGCGGATTTTTTTTTCTTAACGGTTGAACGAATGTTAATTTTTGTGCTTTGTGCGCATCTGTGGTTCAAATGTTTTTTGGTGGAGTCATTTTGTTTATTTCAATTCCTTTTTGGTTTGACGCAGCCAAGTGTTCGTGGGCCCCATAAAATGACCTTGAGTATGACACCTGTGTTTTAGCAACTTTGTCCAAATGAGTTCTATTCGGAAGCAAGAATCCCACACCAGTGGTTCTCAAATTTTTACACCAATCACTGTCCAAAAAAAAAAAAAATCACACACACAACCTTCCGGTTGCTCTCTGGTGATCACCACCACTAAAATCCAGTCATTTAGTCGGTTTTTAGTCCTAAATGTACACTACATGTAATATTACTGTCAGACTCTGTAACATTGTGCACAGTTTAAAATGAATACTATGCTTAAATTTAGGAAATCACTGCACTTAAAAAAAAAAAAAAAATTAATCCAAGATGAATTGCACACGTCATCTCTCAGACACGGCGTACGTACGGTAGGAAAAGCACATTAACCTGTATTACAATCAACAATATCACCTGTATTGTTCATCAAAGTTTTGCTCTCATGCTTTAGGCTCGCACCAAAATAAAAGCAAATGAAATGTGAATGAAGATGAATGACAATTTATCGAGTTTGAAAATTGCGCTCTGACCACGTTGCAAAGTCGATTTGAATTGACGAATCGTTCAGCCCGAGTAGGCGGTGATTCTTTTGTATACCACGAAATGGAGAACGACTAACTTTTGAGAACGACTGTACCGAGACCGATGCGCTAAACGTGTTTGAGGCCCGATGACTAAGTTGCATCTTACAGCCGTATTGCATTTTTTCCCCTTCTCTCGTCTGCAGAGTGAGTCAGTGAAATACTTCCTGGATAACTTGGAGCGCATCGGTCAGCTGGTGAGTCACGTTGACGTTCAGCGGCGGCAACTGAAAAGTTGGCTGTCAGAATAACTCGTCCCAATCTCCTTCTTTTGCCCTCAGAGCTACATCCCGAGCAAGCAGGACATTCTCTTCGCCCGCAAGGCCACCAAAGGCATCGTCGAGCACGACTTTGTCATCAAGAAGATTCCCTTCAAGATGGTGGACGTGGGCGGGCAGAGATCGCAGAGGCAGAAGTGGTTCCAGTGCTTCGACGGAATCACCTCCATCCTCTTCATGGTGTCGTCTTCCGAGTACGACCAGGTACCAGATGCCGAGCTCACGTAACCCCCACACCCCCCCTGCGAAGCAGACAGCGGGCGCCTTCATCTTCGCCGCGTGTCCTTTCCGAAAAACCACAAAATTGACAAAGGACATCTGAGGTTGTGGAAGCACAAGACTCTCTTTGTCGGTCGCCTTGATCAAATGCGACTGTGGCCTCAGCGCCGGTTCCTTTTCCAATAAGCAGTCATATGACAAAGACTGATTCCTTGATCGCTGTGCAGTCGAGCTCCACTCTTAGATTTTTCGGGGCCGGCCCACGAATCATGAAATTCCTTGTAGAACTAACGTCCATTGAAATACATGGGGGGGGGGGTTACCCAGTTATACGGTAATTCCCAAGCAGGTTGCCGTGACACAAATGATCCAATTTCCTTTTACTCTGTACGAAAATTATTATTTATTAATAACAAGAGCCCAACCGATATTGATTTTTTTTTCCAAGCTGATTCCGAAATTTGGTGTAGTAAAATTCCAGTAACTGATTAATCATCCAATTGATTTAATAATATAAAAAAAAAAAATGTAAGGAATCACTTTTTTTTTTGGTTCTTCAATGCTTCGACCATCAAAGTTATGATTTACAGGCCGAACAGTTTTCCAATAATTTGTCCTTTAATAATTTTTTAACCTTAGAACCGAGAAAAATAATCAAAAAGGGGCACCTTTTTTTTTGTGGACAATATTTGGGGGGAGCAATGTCTGAATGTCAAAGAAATCATTTATATTTCAATGGGTAAGCTGAAGAAAGGAAAAAAATAAAGTGGGCAATTTTTGGCCTTTTTTTTTTCGTCATCTTAACTGTTGAAACGTAAACAGACACTTCACACATTAGAGGCTGTAATCATCATTCGTGCCATTTGCCTTTTTTGGCAGTTGATCCGCCTTGATCAAATGACTACGAAGGGCTGACGATCGGGTTAGCCTTTTGCCACCGGCGGTACTCGTGACATCACAGTGACGTCGTCTCGAGACTAAATGGCTGCGCGTTGATTGCAGGTCCTGATGGAGGACCGCCGCACCAACCGCCTGGTGGAGAGCATGAACATCTTTGAGACCATCGTCAACAACAAGCTCTTCCTTAACCTCTCCATCATCCTCTTCCTCAACAAGACCGACCTGCTGGTGGACAAGATCCGGACCGTTGACATCCGCAAGAACTTCCCCGAGTTCAGTGGAGACCCGTGCAGGCTGGAGGACGTGCAGGTACTGACACCCCTCCGAGTGGAGAGTTGTCCCATCACGTGATCGAAAATGGGGGCCGATCACATTTTTTAAAAAAACTGATCGATATCAGCAAAGTGTTTAATACTTTAAAGTCGATTTAATGATGCTACTATTCTATATTTTTTTTAACGTACAATATTTTAGAGTGACATTTGAAAATAAATATTGGGGGCGGGGTATTGATTTGACCAAAACCAATCTCGTCAAAATACACTCACTCTTTTTCCACGATGTCTCGTTCCCGCAGGCGTTTCTGGTGCAGTCGTTCAGCCGAAAACGGAGAAACCGAGGCAAGCCGCTGTTCCACCACTTCACCACCGCCGTGGACACCGAAAACATCCGCTTTGTCTTCCACGCCGTCAAGGATACCATCCTGCAAGAAAACCTCAAGGACATCATGCTGCAGTAACACTCAAAGCATTCTTGACTCTTGGGGGCGGAGGCGAGGGGGAACCTGTGGAGGCCCGACGGGACCGGGCTGTTTTAACAGCGACTTGGAAAGGAATCTAATGGACCCGCTGAGTGGTTCGAACACAACCTGTGGAGCCGTGACCCAACCCATCTGATACATTCCAACGCGTACAGTATCAGTCAGCGTGTATTGGAGTCACATTCTTGCCTTTTGAACATGGGATTTGAACAATACAAGCACTCAAAGTGCGTGTGTGTGTGTGTGTGTGTGTGTGTGTTTTTTTTTAATAGATCTCTAAAGGACTGCTGACAACACAGTCACTAAATCAAGTCAGGAGATGAAATGGGAGGGTGGGGGGAGGGAGGGGGTCCGCATGACCCAGGGTTGGTGCCATTGAGGTCATATGCGGCGTTATATGATGAGATTGCTCAAGTGTCCTGTCAGTGAACTTGGAGCCAGAGAGGAGATCATGATATTGATCTCGCGTCAGTGTGTCTTCTTGGATTTGTTTATTTGTTCAGTCACTCATGCATACTAGTGGGGCAAACTGTGTTTGTAGTACTAAAAGTGAATTCAAATTCTACCACTGAACAACTGGTGCTTCACTAGTAGTACTACAGCAGTTACAGTAAATACTGCAGTTTTACCTCACTAGTAACATGAATTTGTCCTCCTGGTCTGCCGAAGTTGTTCTATTAGTGTACATAAATGTCAAAAAGTTGTGGGGGGGGGGGCACACCTCACTAGTGAGTAAGGCCAAATGATTTTGAAAAATACAGTAATTATTATTATTGTTATTTTTTTAAAAGTCATGTTGGGATACTTTTACTCGAGTTTAAAAAAGACAATTCAGATGCTTTTTTTTTTTTCCTACGTCATGCATTTTGTTGAGGTATCAGATCGAGAGTTGGTACCGGTAGATACTCTACAAAAAAAAAAAAAAAAGTGACTTTGATCAAAACATCTCGAAACCAGACTGCCGTACAACTCCCCAAAATTTTAAGGGCAAATTAAAACATCGAACAGACACATGTTCCTAATAAATAATAAGAAAACATTTCAGACGTTTTGTATGGCCACTCATAAGAAAAAGGACCCAACACCGCCTGCTCCAAAGAGTTAATGAGCACTTCCATATGTTTTTAATACAGTGCAGTGTTACAGCTGTCTAATTTATATCTGTTTAGAATTGAACCGATGCCCCTTTGTTCCTGCTCATATTTCCTGTATATACAAGAGTGTTCAAATGTCTGCCACTGTGTGTGTGTGTGTGTGTGTGTGTGTGTGTGTGTGTGTGTGTGTGTGTGTGGAAAAAAAAATACCACTCTGTAACAGCAGCACTGTAAATGCACAACTAACCCACTTGGCACACCATTGTTTTTGTTTTTTTAAAAATTAAGTTGTAAATAGATATCGTCACAGCACTGGATACATGCTGAGACAACAACAAAGGACAAAACTGTGGCGTGAAGGAAAACGAAAAAAGGATGGAAAACAGGACAGAGGACAGAATAGAGGCTCGCTAAAGTCTTGGTGCCGTTCCCTTGTTTTGACCTTCTGCTTTTGTTTTGTTTTTTCTTTCTCTGTGCCTTCATTGGCTCTGTGTTTTGTGGTGAAATACACTGCCGTTTACCTGGAGGCTGTTTAACTCTTCATTTGTTTGTGAGTGTGTGTGGCTAAGCAAGAGGGCGCCACCATCAGCAGTGTGCTCGCAAAGAGAGATCAGCAGCCAGGGAATGAGTGCATAATTTTAACTCAAGAAGTCCGCTCAAATATTTGGTCTCCTAGGCAGAGACCTCCACCAAGGCTCACAAATCCCACTTGGGCTCAGTGCCAAATTGTCACGTGTTCTTTATCCTCTGCGTAAAATGACTAAAATGAGTGCCATAGGCTACTGGCGGAGAGAGGATTTGACGCCTCAACGAACAGTTCATCCGTCTGTCTTCTACTGCCCCAAGGTGGGCAGCAGCACAACCGCTATTCAGTGATATAAAGGGGGTTCAGTGATATAAAAAAAAAAATGTTTTCATTGTTTTTGCGGCAACTTAAATAAGAGCCCAAATCACATGAATCCATACAAGGAATGAGGAGAAAAGTAGTAAGACGGGCAGACTGGAATCACGTCTGCTGGAAAGAAGGAAAAACTGTAAAGAAGAAGAGATGGGGGGGTCAAGTAAAAGTACCCGAAAGGGGAGGTGGAGGGGGTTTGTATGGGAGGGGGTTAAGTTTCCTCTGCGGAGTCCACTTCCTGTTCTGTTGCTCAAAGAGTGAGTGTGGATCCACTTTCCTCTAGTACACACGCACACACACTCTTACACAAAAAGCAACTTCATGCACTGTTCTGCAAAAGGAGGCGAGTGCAGAAATAAAGCAACGTAAACTAAAATCCCCAGTGGCTTGCGAAATACATGGAAAGGCGTTCATTGAGGCAGGACATTATGTGCTTTCGGTGTACATGCACAGTATTTTGGGCACCGGACTAATACAACATAATATGCGCAAATTTTCCCATCAGAAAACGAAGACGTTGACAAGGCTGGCTGCGGTGTGTTCACATTGAAAGCAAAAGGTCACTTGAATCAAATAAGGTTTTAAATTGACTAATATTAAAACACAAACTGAATTATAATCCTTTGATTTTTTTAATAAGTACAGTGGTGCGTTGAGAGCGCCAACTTGAGATGTGAGAGGTCGAGCTATCGTGCCAGTGAACTCGCTTTACAACATGCATGACAGATAGTGAACAATAACAACAGAAAAAAAAGGCCTCAAGATGTTAAACGCCACACCCAGTTGAAGTTTGCGGTCAATGTAAGCATTAAAAAGAATTGCTTTGCATTCCGAAAGTTTGCTTAGCTTAATGCTAACAAGCTAATAGACGCCATTGACGGTAGCCGCGGTCTTATAAGCAACGATAAACATTTACACAGATAATAGAAGAGTACTCACAGGCGTGCCCTCAATGAAAAATGATGACTCCAGCATTTTACTGAGTCACCTAGAGTAGCACAAGTAGGCTACATTTTTTTCGTATCAACTTAAAATATATCAATAAGACTAATATATCAATAAGACGCTAAGCCAGTGCATTTTTAGGACGTTTGTACAGGCCCCTCACCTTCTTACTTTGGTTAAGATGATGGCTCCCCGTGGTGCATTTTGACTGGAGCCACTGTTGAACTTTCTAATTAGTCCACACACGCTCACTCGCGAGCTAAAGGGCCACCTGTGCAATTTAATCAAATCTCAACAGCTCATTAAGTGACGATTTGGCCATGAAATGTCTCTCCTGTTTCTACTTACAAGCGTGACATTTCCCTCTGCTGGTCAACATGGAGTAGTGCAACATGTTACAAAATTCGACCTCCAGAAGTCATTAAAAATGTCTGGCATGTTGGGTGGTTTTCAAGCCTCTTTGCTTTAAAGCATAACAATTCGTGATATTGGATTTATATTTCAAACAAACACCCAGTGGAACATTTTTCCATAAACTCGGCTGAGTGTGTAATAAAAATAATCGGGGGGGGGGGGGGGGAATGTGTGTGTT